AGTAAGATTTAGACTTGAACCTTATGAGATTGGGTTGAGTTACATCATGAGTGTTCCTAACGTCGAGATTAACTCACAATTAGAGTTGGGTTTAGCAAAGATTAAGGGAAAATGGCAGAATTTAAGGGTAATCCTATATTATTGTTCCTAATGATCAAACCCCCAATTCTCTGGTAATGTCAATTAATTGTAGAGATTATCACATTAATAGTGCAGTTAGAAGTAAAAAAGAGTTTTAAGAGCTTTGAAGTTGATAACCCTACTTATAGCCTAATTTTCATTCTTGCATAAAGCATGAGGTATATAACACTTTCACTAAAGTATTGTGCTTGAAAAACATGCTGGACGGTCTTAAATTTTCTTTTTTATTAATTTGTCAAAACGGGGATCTTAATACCGATGGTAGAACGTGGTCATTAATCAGAGCAGATGCTCCAGTAATACTCGTGGAGAAAGAATTGTACTTAATTAATGTAAAGAAGAGACATCTGATACCCAATAGCAAAGAGATTGCAGTAGTTTATCACTCACATGTAATCTCTATTGTAACTTCAATGTGTAACATTTAAAAAAAAATCACCCACAAACATATGAAGGACAGCTAGTTGTGCACATATAAAAACTTTGCGGGTCAAAAGAAGCTACTCCTTCCGTTTCACTTTCTTTGTCTTAATTTCCTTTTCAATCCGTTTAAAAAAGAATGCCTTTTTCCTTTTCTGACAACACTTAAATTTTAACTTTCCACGTGACATGTTTAAGATCACAAGATTAAATGAAATATTGATACATTTTATCTATCTTTAATTCAAGACCATAAGTTTAAAAGTCTTATAACTCGGTGTCAACTCAAATCAGACGAACAAATTGAAATAGAGGGAATACTAAGTACTAACAAGTAAAGGGTAACACTAGAAGAAATGCCATAACCATTTACTTCTCCATTTTCTCTTATTATATCAACTACACCACAATGCAAAACAAGTTCGGATTAGCTACACGAATTGTCATTTTCCTCTATAATACAGCACGAGCAGGTCTTAGAATTCAATATAACAAAGATTCATCATCATTTAAACTATTTCTAGTCTAACTCAATCCTCCTCTATTATTTGGGCTTAGGACCAGCTATACTACACTCCAATTTTCCTAATTTCTCATATTTCACAACAGCAATTCTTACACAATTTTACAACAGGTACCTGCTACACCAACCCATACCCGCACAAATATCGAGTAACTCTGCCACCTAAGCGGAAAATGGTTACCTTTTTACGACCGGCAGCAAGCAGATCGGTTCGGTTCTTGTTCTTGTCCATCCGATTCCGATCAGATACAGCTGCAATTCAATTAATGCTTTTCTAACACCATTATCCTTCAACAATCAAACTGAAAAATTCAAAAAATACAAAAAAAATCAGAAAAAAAAACCTAAGATTCAAATACAGAAAAAAGAAAAATGAAATATACGATTCGATTACCTTTCGAGTTTCTATAATGAAAACTGAATAGTAATCTGTATGAAATTTCAATTATTTTTTGCTCTGAATATATATATATACACATATATAATATATATAATTTCCCTTTTTTCGGTTGAGAAGTATGAAGACGACGGTGAATTATCTTAGATCTGACGCAAAAGTTGTTGGTTTTCTGGTGAAAATATTGGGTAGGCCCAATTTTGGTTATTATTGGGCCTTATACTACAAATAACCCGTACACGGCCCATTTTACTGGACATGGGTTGGAAAAAAGAAAATAAAATTTTAATTAAAAACAAATCTAGAAGAAGAATAATGAACAAGTAAAATAAACGAAAGAAATAGTTTTCCTGAAAAATTAATTTTCAAAATAATTTGACCAATCAAAACTTTTTGAAGAAAATGTTTCTATACTTATTATTGTACTTTGATCTGTTATAACATGTTATTCATCTAGAGTAATTTGATAGATGAAGTGATAAAACAAAAAGATCAGTGTATAAGAATTATTGTTTGGTTTGAATATGAGTTATGATGGGATAAGTTATGTCGGGATTAGTTATGATGCGATTATTTCTTATTGAGCGTTTGGTTTGTTGTATTCAAAATATTATATATTGATAAATTTTAAGAACAAGTTGTTTGTTTACAAAATTACCCTTCACTTTATTTAAACTTTTTAAATTTTTCTTTGCGAGCTTTAGTTATTCATTTTTTAAAATAAAACTTTTATTTTATTTAACTTAAATATTTTTGTTTATGTATCCCCGTGATAAGTACCATGTGTATTTAAAAATATAACTTTTTTCTTATTTAGCTTAAACTAGAACTTCCCTCTTAAGTTTGTTAAAGAGAAGAAAATTTATGAGAAATCAAAATAAAATAAACATAAGAATTAGTCAAATAAATTCATAAATAAAAATTATATTTATATAGTGTAATTTTTTAATAGAAAAATATGTATAATTATCATAAAAATAAGGAGTAGTAAATATTATTATACATGGTATTAAAAAAATGTAAATATACATAAATGTGAAAAATGGTGTATAAAAAGGATTTAAAGGGACATATTTGTCATTTACCTATTTTATCCCGGGATAAGTTATCCCGGAATTACTATACCACCCATGGAGAGGGATAACTTATCCAGGTACTAATTATTAATCCCGGGATAAGTTATCTCGAACTTGCCAACCAAACAACAAATTAAGTGGTACTATAATTTAATCCCGGGATTATTTGTACTTATCCTTTACACCAAACGACCCCTTAAAGCTAGAGAATCCAAACATTATTACAGTTATAGCTTGTTACATAAATAGCCAAATTGCTTTAGCCTTCCACAAAAATAGGGGAAAGGTAGAAAATAAAGGAAGATTCAAGTCAAATTTCCTACTTAGGAGAAATAGTCATCAACTTGGAAACAAATTCTTCAATATTTTTATCTGAACTTCCTCCTTCATCCACAACATTTCTAGCCATTTCCTTCCATTTCTTTGCATTTTCCCTAATTAATTTTCCTTTCTCTTCTTCCATCACTAATTTTATACATTCTTCAATAACTTCTCTTCTAACTATCCCTTTTTCATCTTGTTTGGCTCTAACACCTATTTCCCACACATCCTTCACAAATTTTGCATTTGTTGGTTGATCTGTCCATTGTGGCATTGCCACCATTGGCACTCCCAAACTAATTGCTTCCAGAGTCGAATTCCACCCACAGTGCGTCAGAAAACATCCTATCGATTCATGTTCCAACACTTGTAATTGTGGACACCATGACACCACTAGTCCTTTTTCAATTGTTAATTCCTCTAAAAAATTCTTGGGAAGTTTGGATTCTTCAGTAGACCTAACAACCCACAAGAAGTTGTTGTTGCTATTCTTCAAACCCCAGGCCAATTCTTCCATTTGCTCAGCTTCTAATTTGGTTATACTTCCAAATGATACATACACCACTGAGTTAATTGGTTGATGGTTTAACCAATTTAGGCATTCATTTCTCATTGGTTTGAAGACACTAAGGCCATACTCTTTGTCTTCATGTAGTCTCTTGTCTAAGTACATTGATGGTATTGTTGGTCCAATTGTCTTGATTGGATATATCTTGGACATATAATCAATTACCTACAAGTCAAATAATAAAAATAGAATAAGATTTCATGTAACTATTTGAATAATTTGTACAATAACATAGGTGACTAGAAGATGAAGTCTGAGGTATTATATAGTTTAATTCCTTCTATGTTTTCCGTGGCAGAGTCAGAATTTTTACTAAGTAGATTTCAAATATGAAGAAGTTTACACAAAATATTTAGTTTGGATGAACCCCTTTCCCCCACATGACTCTGCCCCTGGCTACTACATAATACCTCACAGAATGGGTGTTTTCTTTTAATTGAACTTCTAACATGTTATAAGCTTTAATAAGTAGCTTATGGAGGAGCCCTAATACGAAATCGGGAGAAATATTTTTCTTCTAAATACGAAAACTACAACAATCTTCATGAACATATGCTTTGTCAGTTCATTTCTTATATAACTTCAATTCAATAGCTAAGAACGCGAAGAAGAAACAGAACGACAATAGTATATATGTTACCTCTTTCTCCAACTCATAGAAGCTGTTGATTAGAACCCAATCAACTTTGTCAAGATTTGAGAATTGATTTCCTAACATTTCAATTATTCTTTCTGCTTCAGGATTAATAACAAAAGAAGGTACATCTGATGCATCGATCGGACTTGAAAATCCAGGAATTAAGATTACTTCATCATTTTGAGTAGGTGGAAGTTTTATTACCCCTTTATGAACATGGTAATAAATATCATCCACTGCACAATTTTGTGTGAAAAATGCAGCACTAATTAATCCAAAATTCTTTGCGACTTCAACAGCCCAAGGAAGGAATGGATCATATACTATGCAATTTACAGGACATCCACTATTTGCTAATTTTTGAATAAGATGAGACAGAGTATCCGAGCCAACTTCTTTGAATCGTGTTATGTAGGCTACGAAAGTTCCTGCTTGGTGGTAACCACCATCATCGTAGCCATCAGATATGGCCTCAATTGATAGTGAAGTTGGCAATTCTTGCATTGTTTTCAAGAAGAATTTTGTGAGTGCTATAGTGATTTTAACACGTTTGGATTGTAAACGTTTGGAGAATTGGAGCATTGGGTTGATATGACCTTGGACTGGAAATGGCAAGATCAAGCAATGAGCTTTGTGAGTAGTCATTTTTTATTTTGCAACTTCTCAATGAAAGAGTTGATAGATAGGATGAGAAAAATTATGTGGTTCTTATAGTTAGTGGATAGAGTTGAAGTGTGTTTTGGCTTCTTCTGCCTATTATTGATACCAAGTTTTTATTGCAAACATGTGCAATGAGGGTACTACGCAATAATTATACGGCCCAATATATATTGTTGAATGTATCACATGTGAAACTCTCCAGTATATGAATGCTTCAAATGAGTTACTAAACTACAAAGTTATTCATCACTGTCATCTTGATTGCAAAAACAATAAAATAATTATTTACATATCATCAATTTATACCATAGTCTTAGAAAATAGGCAGGAAATGACCCATTGACCATCAATTTATACCATCAATAGAGAATATTACAATTAAGCAAAATACACTTGTTTATTTTTCTACTTAGGAGAAATAGTAACCAACTTGGAAACAAATTCTTCAATGTTTTTATCTGAACTTCCACCTTCGCCCATAGCATTTCTAGCCAATTCCTTCCATATCTTTGCATTTTCCCTAATGACTTTTCCTTTATCTTCTTCCATCACTAGCTTTATACATTCTTGTATAACATCTCTTCTAACTATCCCTTTGTCATCTTGTTTGGCTCTAACTCCCATCTCCCAAACATCTTGCACAAGCTTTGTATTTGTGGGCTGATCTGACCATTGTGGCATTATCACCATTGGCACTCCCAAACAAATTGCTTCCAGAGTCGAATTCCACCCACAGTGCGTTAGAAAACACCCTATTGATTCATGTTCCAACACTTGTAATTGTGGACACCATGACACCACTAAACCTTTTTCACTTGTTAATTCCTCTAAAAAGTTCTTGGGAAGTTTGGGTTCTTCAGAGGACCTAACTACCCACAAGAACCTCTTGTTGCTATTCTTCAAACCCCATGCCAATTCTTCCATTTGCTCAGCTTCTACTATGGCTAAACTTCCAAATGATACATACACCACTGAGCTAATTGGTTGATGATTTAACCAATTTAGGCATTCATTTGTCATTGGTTTGAAGATACTAAGACCATACTCTTTGTCATCATGTAGTCTCTTGTCTAAGTACATTGATGGTATTGTTGGTCCAATTGTCTTTATTGGATATATCTTGGACATCCAATCAATTACCTACATGTAAACAATTAGATGCATGAATATTATCTTTTAAATGGAAAATAGTGACTTTCTAGTAGTGAACAAAACATAGAAAAGAACAAAAGTTGAAGAGTAGTCTCTTACCTCTTTCTCCAATTCATAAAAGCTGTTGATTAGTACCCAATCAGTTTTCTCAAGATTTGAGAATTGATTCACCAATAGTTCAACTAATTTATCTGATTCAGGACTTGACTCAAAACTAGGCACATCTGAACTCTCAATTGTACATGATAATCCAGGAATTAATATTTTTGCATCATGTTGAGTAGGTGGAAGTTTTATCACCCCTTTATGAACATGGTAATAAATGCTATCCACTACACAATTTTGTGTGAAAAATGCAGCACTTACTAATCCAAAATTCTTTGCAACTTCAACAGCCCAAGGGAGGAATGGATCATATACTATGCAATTTACAGGGCATCCACTATTTGTCAATTTTTGAATAAGCTGAGACAGAGTATCCGAGCCAACTTCTTTGAATCGTGTTAGGTAGGCCTCGTATGTTTTTGCTTGGTTGATGCCATCATCGTCGTAGCCATCAGATATGGCCTCGATTGACACTGAAGTTGGCAATTCTTTCATGTTTTTTAAGAAGGATTTTGTAGGTGCTATAGTGATTTTGACACATTTGGATTGTAAACGTTTGGAGAATTGGAGCATTGGGTTGATATGACCTTGAACTGGATATGGCAAGATCAAGCAATGAGCTTTGGGAGTATTCATTTTATATTTTTTTGCAACTTCACAATGAATGGCAAATTAAGATTTGAGAAAGGATATTGGGAAAATCATGTTGTAAATATGTGGTTCTTATAGTTTGTTGACAGAGTTGAATGCCCTACAAAGTTTGTCGGCATCTTTCTAATGTATACAAACTTTTTATTGCCAACATGTGCAATGACATAAGAAAATTATAGGGGCAGAACATAAATTTTCATTAAGGGGTTTTAAAATATGCAGAAATAAACATACCAATAAGTTAAAGGAAATTAATCATTGAGCTTTTATTAGCTCCGCCCCGATTTTGGTAGTTGGGAGAGGGAAAGGAAAAAGTAGGATCATCACACAATGTTGAAATTAAGTTGATAACGCCAAAAGAAAATTTTAATCTAATGATATACTTACTTGGTATCTGTTGCTAGCAGAAGATAATAAATATCTTATGGAATTAATTGAGATGCGCGTAAACTGATCCGATTACCATAGTTATCAATTATTATTTTTTAAATCTAGTGACGAATAAACAAGGAAAGAAAAAGGAATCCTAATTTTACCTAACCCATGATTCAGTTTAGAGTGTGTTGGCTGCTTCCTATTATTATTGCCAACACGTGCAATGACATAATAAAATTATGCAATGAATGACACCAAAGTGTACCAAAAATATATATACTTGATGATGAACTGGAATTGGTCTTTTCTGTCATACAATTAATTTTGTCACCAAACTGTAGTAATACAATTACTAAGTTTTACTTAATATAGTACTCCCTCTGTTTCAATTTATGCGACACTTTTCATTTTTTGAGAGTCAAATAATTTAAGTATGATCAACAATTTGCGCATGAAATCTTTAAATTTTTTGAAATAAATTTTTATATATGTAAACTACGTAAAAAACAGTACTATACGTCACAAATAATTGATAATTTAAAATGTTCAAAAAATCTATGAAAAACTTATAATAAAAAATAGACTTGTTTGAATCTTGAAATTCGAAAAGTAGCACATAAAACGAGACGGAGGGAGTAACATTTTTTTATTATCAAATTACAGTATTTGAAACAAATCAACAAATACATGCAAGGAGGGAGGCAATTCAAGAGGAGTTCTTCTAAACGTCAGGACCGACTCTATGCTTTGATAAATAAGGCATAAATTGGCGCTCTATTATTTATGATAAGTATATTTTTTTTAAAAGAATTATATCATTTTATTCTATTTAACCTAATTCAAATAGAAGAAATCAAGAAAATATTATTTTGTCGTTTTACATTCTCTTCACCAATACTCACATTATTTTGTTCTTTTCAAGTCCTTTTGTACTCTCCTTTTTTAAAATTTTGATAAGCTAGAGTAATACTCTATCAAAAATATGAATCTTTTATAATAATCACTTTACTAAAAGGAAAAAATTACCTAAATACATATCTTATTTTATCATAATCTCTAAAATTTCCTATCATTTAAGAAATTTCAAAAATTCCCTCGTGTATACATAACTTCCCTCTCGCTGATACATCCCTCCCCTATGTATCTGGATGTCCTATCCCCTCTTTGATACATCATTATCCTCTTTCTGATACATCTCTCTGCTCTTGGATACATCCCTCCCCTATGTATCCGGATGCCCGCTAATGTATCCGAAAGTCTAGTGATATATGTGTTCGAAATTCATAAAATTTTAAGTAATTTGGAAAAAAAATAATAATAATATAATTAACTCTTAACACTATGAGATTTATATAAATTATACTAAAAAAATAATATTTTATAAAATATCCTAATGGGCCTAATTTGAAAGCAACCCTATTATTTGCTTATTCACATTTATTAGATAGTAATACTCAGAAGATATTCTTAATCGTTTATAATAATCACTTTAAATAAATAATCATTTTATAAAAATTCAAAATATTTAACGGTGTCAATGAAACTTTTCATGAAGTTTACAACTATGACGATATTTAATAAGAAAGAAAGAAAAAAGAAAGAGAAAATGAAAGATGTCACATACTTCCGTTTTAGAAGTCAGAATTGAATTTTTAACTACATACAACATACAATTATTCATCATAAATGCATCGATATAATTACCTGAAAAAATAAGGCATGCAACATTTATATAGTACAAGATGTTAAATTAAATTGATAACGTTGAAAGAAAATTTAAATTTATTGATATATTTATCTGGTATATATAATTGATGAAAAGTAGCAAATATCTTATTATTAAATTAATCAAAATGCTTATAAACTGGTTCAAACATTATAGTTACTAATTATATCTTAAAAATTTAATGTGGATGCTTCCTTTTATTGTTGATACCGACCTTTCATTGCCAACATATGCAATGACATAAGAAAATTATGCAGTGAGTGACACCAAATACCAAAAATATATATTACGCATATCTCAAATTGACAATGATGGTTTATTGAAGTGAAGAATCAAAAGTCGTCGTATGTGTTATGTATATCTTTAATGTTAGGAATAAAGTGGAGTTCTCTTTACACAATAATTATTAAAATTTTATTTAATATAATATTATATAAAAAAAAAGGTCAAATGTTTTTCTAATCTATAATCAATTTTCAACTACATATTTATATTTTACGAGTGTCCTATTACCCTCTTAAACTATTTTAAAGCAAAATAAATGTACCCTTAAGTGCTGACATGACACATGTGCTCACTCCTTAAACGCATGTGAGAGACAAAGAACTAATAAAAAATTATTTCAAAAATATTTTAACTTTTTGTTAAATATCATTTTTCAACTTTTGCCTTTAATTTTATTTTCTTTACTTTTTTTCATTTCTTTTTCCTTTATCATTTTTCTCCCCCTCTGCCTCTCTCATCAACACCCACCCTACCTATAAATCTCCATCACCATTGTTGAATCACTATCACCATAGCAGCCTCAACTCCTCACCCATCTTCTAATACTTTTTCATAATTTATCTCACTATTACTCGCATCCATTAACCATCAAAATCACCAAACAACCATAAAAACTATTATTTATGTAGTAAAAAAATAAATTGAATTCATTAATTTTCTTGCTGAGGCAAAATCTGTCAACCTTCAGATCTTATTTTTAGTCTTTATTAACGTCTGATGAAGGAATCTAACCTACACATAATAAGAATTTCACGAAGTTGAGTAGCAACAATCAATTGATTCTACTCAATCCCGATAATTCAGTTATTTCTTTAAGTGTAGAAGGCGTAAATCCTCCACTATTTAAAAAATAAATAAAAGGGTGTATTCATCCTCAATTCTAAGACGATTAGTGAGAACTTGAAGCTTGAAATTGGAATTACAATTGAAGAATTTGAGTGGGAGAGGTGAAAATGGAGGTTTAAATAGCTAATAAAGTAGTTGTTGTGGTGTTGCTGATGAATATTGATACTTAATTTGTGGGTTATAGAAGGTGGGAGTGGGGATGGGGGTGAGGAGTGATTTAGAGAGGAATAGATTGGAGAGAGACATAGGTTTTGGGGAGTTACAGTGAAAAAATTTGAAGCATGACTTAGGACAAGTGAAGAGGAAGAAGATGATGAAGAAAAGAAATATAATTATGTTTTTTCTTTAATTTTTTGCTTATATATGTGATATTTGACAACTGACAATGCGTGGTGAACACTACATGGAAAGAATATGGTTGTCTAGTTTTAGAGTTGTTTATATTCCGCTTTAAAATAGTTTAAGGAAGTAATAGGAACCCCATAAAGTATAAGTATGTAGTTGAAAATTCGACTATAGATTAGGAGGTCATTTGACCATTTTCTCTAGTATTATATATAGTCACAATTTTTTTCTCTACTTTATCTAAAGACATAAAATTATAGGTAAAATTATTCGATTTAGCAAAATATCTCCCTTTTTGATAAAAATATATATACAAATTCGGTAAAATCATATAATTGGACATACAAATAACACACTCACTTTGATGTGTGATGCATCCCAGATAAGATAGAGAGATAAGAGAGTGGCGAGTGAGATGGGAGGGAAGTGAGGGCGTGAGATTTGTCTATGTATCCTAGATACATGCAAATCTACTTGAATAGAGTGTATCTAGAACAAAATACTCCTAATTTTGAGTCCATGCATCTGAACGCACCAAAATTTGGTAAGATTCGTAATATACAATATAGCGTGCCTTTAAGTAATTAGCTCATACACTAGTGAATTTTTGGTAAATTACCCTTGGTTTTGGCCCATGGACCCTAACCCGACCATGATCAAGTCTCACAGTCCAAAGACTTATATGAGTCGAACTTATAAGTCCTAATTTTAAATGGGCTTGAAAAATTCTATCTCAATCTTATTCTAATAACGGATTTAATTGGACCGGCCCCATGAACTAAGCCTATATTGACGACTCTAATGCTAACTAATAGGCTTACCTCATTAGGATAGCATTAGTATGTTTACACCAAATTGAGTTAAATAATTTAGTGGAGTAAATATGTACATTAAGTGGCCATATATAATTAAATAATATTATTTTGATTTGATGTAAACAACATATATTATATTATTCGTTTATTCCAGTTGAATGCACCACTGAATAATTTGACTGAAAATTCTGTCAGTGGTGGATTCCTTCAAAATTATGAATGAAGCTAAGGAAGTATTCGATTTGCTTAAGTGTAAATATTCTATCATGTCCGGTAGTTGGCATCTACTTTTGGCGGTGCTTAACCTGTTGTAGTCATTGATCCAGATGTCCCATAAAAAGGTATCAACTAAATTCAAACTTTATTGTGTTGCTTATGCTCCATCAAATAATTCATCACTTCTATATTTCTCATCTGATTCATTGCATACATTTTCATAACACCAAGTTGAACATAGTACATAAACAGTGTGGTGGAGAATATGTACTTGTTTTTGGCATCGATCTTGTGCCATTGGGCTGTTGATTTTATAATGAGCTTGATAAATTAAAGAAATTTCAAACCATTATCATATTCACAAAGAGAAATTAATGTTGGTGAGCTTATTGTAAGAAATATAAAATTTCAAATGTCAAGCCTTAAATCTTCTATTGAAACAAAATTTCACCCGCTAAATATGTAATTAGAGGT